ACAAGGCTTTTTATAAACAGATAAGACCTTCTGATCTCTTATAAGAAGATCTTCTGACTGTACATCTAAGTCTGTTTTTACACGGTCGTTTTGTACACGGTTTTGATATAACACGGTTTGAAAATTGAATATTTTTAATTTTTTACACGATTTTATTCCATTTAGCACGATATGAATTTTCATGTACTTAAATTTTTTTGTCAAATTTAATTTTTGCGAAGTATGTTCAAATCACAAAAAAGTATTTATGAAAGAAAAAAAGTCTAAAACCATCGATAGTATCGATAGTTTGCGAACACTAGCTTACAGATTTAAGTGAATTCCCCTTTAGCGCTTACAAACAATTTTTACTGGTCAAAGCAAATGTGAATAGCACTAATTTAGGAGAATTCCCTTTATGTATAAGATCAATGTCTTTTTTTACACGGCTTCTTCTGGAACCAATCTACCGTGTAAAAACAGACTTAGGTGTATTATGATTATCGCCTGATTTCAAGACTTATATACATTAAAAATGCATAATGGTCCTATTTCCGTACTTCTGAGTCCATCAAAAACCATGCATTCAACTTCGTTGCCCCGTTATATGCACGGTTTCTTATAACGTCAATATTCTTCAATTGCCTAAAATCGAAAGTAAAAAATGAAATCTTCCACCGAACTTAATGGCATTGTATTCGTCTCGTCCATTGTCTAATTCGAAAAAAAAAATAATTATCATATTTCAATTGACATTATTGGAAATGCAAATGAATTGATTTTCAATAAACTACAAATAAATACACGTTATAGAATAACTTGATTATTTCTAACTGGATTCACACGTTATTTGAATTAATAAGACTTTATGGAATAAGTTAATATAATTCTGAACGCATTTGCATGTATCTTATACAATAAAAACAGATAAAATAAAAAAAAACATATGGGCTTCCCCATATCGAATGTAGGTGGTGGTGGTGCTGCTGACGTTATAGACATAAATTAGCAATTTGTATTTCAAACTAATAAATTGAATGAAAACAAAGTAAATTGTGTGCAATGAATACAAATTAACTAACAACGTTCAATGGAAGTGCAGAAGCAACTAACAAAATAAAAACGGAAGCCTTTTTTTGCTAAATGTATGCAAAATTTTTGAATATTTTCCCCAAGTAATTTGAAACAACAAAAGGTGAAAAACAAAAAGAAGCATAACAAACAAACCATCAAAGAAATTTTTATGCAATATTAACCTACTCCTATTCTGTGGGTTACCTACCAAACGCAGCAGCACCAAAGTGCAATAAAAAATGCCTAACAATGCATCGAGAGTAGAGTAGAGCAGCCATGCACTTGACCACAATCATAATGCCGTAAACGAAGCATTTCATTATGAAGATATAAAGCTTTTTCACGTTCGTTTGTTTGTTCGATTGTTTATTTTTTGTAGACATCGAAGAAGAAGCACAAAATACCAAAATGGTCGGAGCCCCGCTGCCTTTACCTGTGTGGACATTAAAACTGGTTCAATATTTCATTATGTCCAAATGTGTAAACATCCATTTAGACAAGTACAACAACAACAATTGTTTTCTCATTTTTATTGCTATTGTTGTCTATCTAACTCCATCGAAATGCACTTGGCAACCTAAAGGAAAAAATATACTAGAGTAACGAACGACCTTTCATGTCGGACTCGCAACAACAAAAGCTACCGAATAAATATTCAATGCCAGTCAGCCCGAGTTTTAGACAGTTCTTTAAGTATCTGGCACGCATGAGAGATTTTCCATGCCTCATTCATGAATGAGAAAAAAAAAACTGAAGAAACTGAAGAAACAATGATCATAAAATCCAAATAATTCCATCTGTTAAATTTTTTGTAAATGTATTTCAAAAGAAAAAATATTGCGGTTATACTTCTTGGTTATTTCAACATAAATTTGCCAAATATGAATTCATTTAAATTTGCAAAATTTTGTTAGGAATAAAATGTTAAAAATTATGAAAAATAATTCAGCTATGTGGTTTGTAAAGGTGACAGCGGTCTCATTGCGGCATTCCTGTTAATTGGATACATGCTTAAAGTTCCGAACTATGATTTTTATAAATATTTCGATTAAGATCAGCAGGGCTGGACCGATAGGTTTTAATATCAAACTTAATGGTCAAGAGAAACTCGACTGTTGTTAACCATAAGGCAAACTTAATACGCATAGTTGAACTTAATGACCGACCTACCGATTAATAAAAATGCATCATTTTATCTTTGGGTGCAACGTGATTGAATAGATGACACATTGTTTTTTATTTAACCCATATATCTGTGGCTGCCACGGACGTGTTTAAATATTTAGCTGTCGAAAGTGACTCTATAAAATTTTTTTAAAAAAATATGATACAGGGGCTAAAAGTAAAAGACAAATGTTTCTGTTTACATCCGGAGGTAAACTAACAACGCGTGACAATATTTCCCATTTTCAAGACATTTAAAAAGCAGTGAGCGGAGTAGTATAGTCAGGGCCGACCATACGAAACCCTACACAACTACCACGGAACGGAATATTTCGTAATATTTGCACCTTTTTGGACGTTTGAGATCATCAGCGCCCCTTCCTTTCAATGACATATTTTCCGAATATTCCCAATATTCAGTACAGCCCTTCTAATTACTTGTCAAGATTCCCTTCACTGTGGATTGTGTTGTGATGTTCGGCTTATAATTGTGGCCTTTAGATCTACTCGAAAAAACACAAAAAATTCATCCCAAATTTTGTATGTGATCATAACCGAAAATTATAGGCGTTGTCCTTGACCATAACTAGAACCTCTTGGAATTTTTGAAAGCGATTAAAGGTATCAATTTAATTGTCAAACACTCCTCATTTTCATGTCCTTCAAGGGTAAATATATACGCCATAGAATACATATTTTTTTATTTTTCACACAAAAGTCAAGCTTCATTTGACTCACTAAATATTGACCGATCTTTATCAGAACTGGTATTCATATTCTCTTTCTCCATATACAATTTCGCCATGTTCGGGCCATAATTGCGGTCTCTGGAGCGACCAGAAAAAAAAACGACTAAAATTAAGTATTTGGTCCATTTCATTCCCTATATATTAAGCGATCTTTACCAAAAACATTAGGGGTCTTCATTGGTCAGAATCCATCCTACATGAACAATTTTGTGAAAATTGGTCAATAACTGTGGCATTTATCGCGTTTACAAAATATAATGGGCAGACGGACAGACACACATGTCTAGATCGACTCAGCTAGTCGACAGTTTGACAACATAGTTGTGTACGGTATAAAAATTCGAATCAAGATTTTTCGAAATCATTGCATTTTAGGGAATCTTAGTCGACTCTCTGAAGGGATGTTTTTGCTTCCCTTTCCAGAAATGATTGAAAACTCGTTTAAAACTGGGTTATAGCAGATCAGAATATTATACAATTGTTCGCCATGAAATTTTACTATAAGTCTCAAAATAGATGAAACCTCAAAAACCAGCCTAAACGTCAAAATTCTTAAAAATATAAAAATTCAATTTATGTTCAAAACCGATCTTATTCCGAGTTGAAAAAATTACAGGAAAATTTCTATGAAGAAAAAAAATTGGTGAATTTTTTTGTCCTATATTGATGAATTTTTTGTCCTATATACGATCTGCTTCGTATATAATATATACGAGGCAGTTCGGAAACTTCTTAGCCAAGCACAAAAGCGCAGTATAAACAGAAAAAAATAAGTTTTTTGGAAACTTCCATTTCTGTTATGAACACATGTTCAATTTTGTTTCGATCTGACAACTCCTTCTGACTTTTAATTGTTCCCAAATCTAAAAAAAAATCCTTGCTGGCAAGCGTTTTACCTCTAATGATCATGTAATTTCAGTTGTAACCACTATTTTGATAGATATTTTGAAGACCTTGAGGGAAACTATTTGAATCAAGGGATAGAATTGCTAGAAAAGCATTGGACTAAGTGTATTGCTGTTTCAGAAGATTATATTGAAAATAGAATAATAATATTGAAAATAAATAAATATAAATAATTTTGAATAATTTAAAATTATTTTTCCTTGATGGACTAAGAAGTTTCCGAACTGCCCTCGTATGCTTACATTTGTTTAGGTTTTAATTATATACAATTTAATTTTATATTTGGCATTTTGTGTTCTAGAAGATAAATAATTCGCAAAAAATCATACCGGCGTTACCATTATATGAAATTAACTAGTTTTATCTTGCAATTTTCTAAAAATTCGGCGTTGAGTTATATTTGTGCACCCAAACTTAGAACCCTATTGCTAGACTTTACTTCCACAACCTTGATTTAACATGGACAGAGACTTGCAAAAAAATTTGCATTCTTATTATTATGACCTAGAGTTCTAAGAAATAAGTGTCATTATTAGATAGTACTGGCAAAGCCATGCACCAGATTTCTTAGAAACAATGGAGAGGGACTACATAGCCTTGGTCTAAACAGCATCGTCTTGTTGTCATATTGCTATACCCAGATTTTTAAAAAACAAATGCCCTTTCATAAGGGGATTGTTTCGACAAAGTATTCATGATCTGATTGGATTTCGTAGAAAATTTGCAAACAAAATAATTTTTTGCAATTATTTTCATTTAATGATTCTTCTTCAACTTTCCAGCACCCTACACAACTAAAACCATTTCTAGTTTAAAATTCATTTTTGCAAAACCTTGCAAAAATAATTGGCCAATTCTAAAAATAGCTGGAGAAGATTACATCATTGATCCCATCTTTAGTTGCATCATCTTTCAAATAAACAAAATCATTATCCTTCAAACGGGTTTCTCTTTTTTTCTATCAAGGATTCTTATTTGCCAAACGACCGACCCAACAACAACAACAAAATGCAGTCATGCATGACACAAACTCTGGTTGCCGGGCCAACAAACGAAAGTGAAGTGAAGGAAAATAAGGAAAATTGAAAAATAACAACAACAAATAAACATGGCTTGCTAGCAACTTACCTCATGAGCCTTGGGATGATGATGTTGACAGTTGTGTGACTCGGCCGGATGTATGGTATGGCCATTGCTGCCATCAATCACAACGGCCCAAAAACTAAAGATGAGCAATAATAGTGACAGATAAGTGGTGCTGCTGCGACTGGAGGAACCACTAGGGCGGCCACTAACAACAAACATTTTGGCTAATGTGCGTTGTAATTGTTGTAGGAAATTGGATTGTTTTTGTTTTTGCTGTTTTTGATATTGGCGGTGGGTGCTGCTTTTGGTGGAACGTATACTAGGTTTCTGTCGTTGTTGTTGTAATTCTTGTTTTTCTGGTTTGTGTTTATGACGACAATAATGTGTGGCAGTTGAAACAGCTGCTGCTGCTGTTGTAGCATGGCTGCTAAGAAGAACTTGTCCTGATGGCGTTGTTGGGCATTTCGTTTTTTGAGCTGGCAGGCAATGTAGATATTGGCACATATTTCTATGGTAGCTGCTGAGAAGAGAGACAGAGGTGAGGGGTTGTTGTTTATATACAAGAATTGAATTTTCCTATGAACTCGATTGATTTTTTTCTTTGGATTTTCCCAGGCTTTAGTTACCACGGCTCCGCCATTTACATTTGCTATCGCCCACAAATTATGGCCTTTTTGCCCAAAACTTGCCGGATGATTGCAAGCCACCACCACCTATAGATTTGCTGGCTGGAGTAGCACACCAAATTTTCACTGAAGCCTTTAATCTACACAATAATCACAATAGCAACACTAAGGTGCGTCCAATCATGACGGCATCTGTTGTCAGGTCTTAAATCCGTGGTTCCAACAACATAACGTCACACAGCATCAATTAAAGGCAAGACATCAGCCACTAGCCACCTCTATCTGCCGGACTGCCAGTCTGTCTGTTTTCCACCTTTAAAATCGTAGTGCAGCAGCACCACACAACAACAACCACTAGTAATGGAAGCAGCGACCGCTAAACAACATCTGCTGCTGCAGCAACGGCGACAGCGGCGGCATCCAAACAAACAGCAAAGCCTTGATTAGACACAGTGAATAAACAAACCAAAGCAAACTGAAGCACGACGAAATCACCAAAACAGCCAGCAAAACCGAACGAAACAAAATCTGAATTCTATTTTCTTGATTTATATTATAAATGTCACATTCACATGAACTCGAACTCCACCACAGAAACAAACAACAACAAAAAAACTCCCCCCACAATACTTTAACGACGGCGCTGCAACCCCTCTCATGCGACGACGAACCGACCGAACGAACAATAAATGTAATCAAACTACCAACAACACACACACTCAAACAAGGCAATGCAAAATTATAAGGCAGACCGACCGAATTACCACTTTTTTCACTGACTGAACGAGCGTTTCGATTTTTTTCTTGTTTCGCTTTGTTTGTTTACAATTCTATTCTTCTCTTTCACTTGGATATTTCGTTTTACATTTCTTATTGTTGTTGTTTTAATTCATAACAACTCTATAAAACAATTTGTTTTGCAAGTAATTTAATTTCATTTACTTTTTGTTTTGTTTATTTAAGTAGTTGTTGTTGTAGCTAATTTTCACTCGCGTCGTTATACCGTCCGTACGTCCACTCTCTTTCGTGGTTTATAAACAAATGACAACAAAAGTTTATTTTGTTTTCGCAAAATATTTGTCTGATGAAGAAAACAACAACAATTGTGAGTAGGGTTAAGTAAGTCGATTTTGGTACTAATCGATATTTTTATCGAAATTATTGTTTAGTTCCCTTTTCATATTTATTTTTATTTTGTCCTTTCGTTTAGCAAACGTTTTCTTATATTTTCGTTTTTATTCGTTTTTAAAATTGAAGGAATTGAATTGGAATTTTAAAATTAGTTTCTTTTTTGTGGATTAAATTGAAATTAATGCGGAAATTCAATATCGAAATTGTATTATTGATACTTTTAATTGAAAACAAGGTATTCGTAACATAGAAAAAGAAACCCTCAAGCCTTGGCCGAATAGAATTTGAGTCGTAGAACTGGAAGCTATTTGAAATGAATGAATACACCTGTCTATACTATACTATAGTCTATACTTCCCGAGGTACGTACATAACTCAAATGTTTCATTTTTACTCTCCAATGTTCACATTGATATGGGAATCCGGGAATCAGGCGCTGAAGTCCTATTTAAAACGCTTTCAAGGAAATGCTTTTCCAAAGATTGGTAAGAACCTTTCAATTTTTAAGTTTGAACACATTGAACACCATCTACTGGTGATTCTCCTTATAAATAGAATCGGAAGGAAATTAAAAATATGTCTTGTTTGTCGTGGCCACATTTTTAATGAACTATTACCGAACTATGTCCATTTCTAAAGAAGTATAATTTATTTCCAAAATGTTTCCTCTCGTGGTATGATGTTACGATGCCACAGAAATTGCCATCTGTCAATATTTAAAAGTAATTTGTGAGAAAATATTTATGTGGGCAGGAACGTTATGATGCCCGGGACGCTTCACTTGATGAGGAGGTCAATTCGAATTCTCAATTAACTTTTGTTCTTCTCTTAGGGTGATACCAGAAGAAGTGGGCCCATATATCCCACCTTAGGAATAAGATATACAAAACAACCTTTTGTACAATATTTGGATCAAATCGTATTCTCCGCTCGCTATAATATTTACTCTTTACTTTTAAAATATTTACTCTTTACTTTTAAAATATTTACTCTTTGTTGGAGTGGTACCAGAATGAGTGGACCGATAGGCCTCTCCTTCGTGCATGATATAGTTTTGGTAAACATATTAAGTTTTGCAAAGTTACCAGTAGAAGCGGTTCGATACTCCTTCCTTATGGTCGAACTTGATAGTTTTGGAATATGGGTACGAAAAATACAATGTGTACCAAATCTGGTACAAATTTTATTTCGATGAACATATAGAGGTGAAATTCTTAAATTTGGACTTTCGATTACCATTTGAATGCAAGATTGAGGTATTTTTATGATTTCGTAAATATGAATACGAAAAAGTACTAAATTTGATACAACTTGGACTTTGTTGGAATTAATATTACTGTTAGAGTGTAGGATTGATGTAGAAATTCTTAATTATGTGTATGGAAAGTAGTAATTGATAATACATTTTGTATAATTTGGATTTGGATGAAATCCTGAGATTTGGAATTTAGATTACTGTTGAAGTGTAAGACTGAGCTATGCAGATAGGTTTGGAAATTGGAATTTATGTGTACGAATAGAATTTGAGTAACGGAGAGAACTGGGAAACTGAAATTTGGTATTAATTAGTACTGGTGAAATTAGAAATATGTGCTGAATGGACCTAAATGTAAAACCTGTAGGTATTTGCTAAAATATATACAATTGGAATTCTGATCAATTTTGAATCTGTATAATGGAAGAAAAGAAAGAGATTTTTGAAATTAGTGCTTATGTGTATGAAGGGTACTAAATGGTAATAAACTTCATATTAGATGTAAGAATATAAGTGGAATTCGGAATTATAGTACAACAAATTATACAGTATTCACAATTTCCATATAAAATATTTGTCACAAATTGTTGATAAGGGAAGACACTAGAACGGATGCCTATATTCCCTATGCCGATATTCTCTATCTTCGGACGTCGTAAAGGTAATTTGACCTTATTTATGTCATGACAAATTTTGCATAAGAGATCATGTAAAATTCCTATTCTGAGACCGTTTTCCGAACTACATTTGATTGTACAAGCTTGAGAGAATAGATCTCCAAAAACCCGATACGCTACAGTATTACTTATTTAAAATTTATTTTTTAATTACGTTTGAACTTCGGCAACAACAGTTACATATAGTTTTTTTTTTTTGTAATTTTGTTTTTTTATGGCAAAATCGCTATCGAATAGACAGATCGCAGAATACAATGGGAAAATGTTATATTTACATAGAAACATAAACTATTATATATTTTCAGATAAATTCTCCGACAGATCCTGATCTTGTATTGGACCAAGAACAAAATCGTTAAACAACTTATTTGGGTGTAAAAACTGTTATGATCAATGAGCATGGATTGCATTGCATTGCCATTTGTATGTCAAAATACGACTTGAGTCTAGTGAAGGCCTGTATTTGAATTATTATGTAGCCCGTTAAGGTTCTGATTAAATGACATGTTAAGTAAGTATCTTTATATTTTCTCAGATTCCGAATGGTCGGTGGCTAATAAAAATAATTTATTGTTCTAGATAAATCCTCTGACATTCTACTCCGAAAGAACAAGTATTGAATCTAGATCAAGAGCATTGTATTTAGCAACTATTGTCATCAAAGAATATCAATAATTATATGGAAATGGGATTACAAAGTTCGGTAAGTACCTTTATATTTTTCTTATTATTTTTGTCATTGAACATGAGTCAATGAGACTTTGATAACATCAATATAATTTTGTATACAAAACAAAGTCACAATATCCGATATGTTCGCTGAATTTCTCTCGCTTTTTAATATTTTATACAGTTTTTCCATGATATTTTTCTAATTGATATATTAAATTTCGGAGGGGCAAACGTCCTTTGCTCTGTAAATATTCTCCCTAGCCACATTTTCCAAATTATTTAATAATTTGGTTGAAATGAATGGTCAACCACTAATTGAAAACCTCGTCGAGGTAAACGTTATTTATTCCCAATAGACTTCTAAAAGAAGGCCCAATGGTTATTTATAATAGTACCTGATGGTCTTCTGCTCTGGTCATCCATAAGAATACATGATAGTCTTCTATAAGAGCTATAAGTCTTCTAGAGGAAGACATAATGACATCTTATATGAAGATCTTGTGATCTCTATAAGAAGAGCTAATGGTCTTTAATAATAAAATGTATTGGATTTCTGTAAGAAGCTGTTTAGAGAAAGTTCTTCTAAAAGAAAATCTGATGGTCATCTATAAAAAGAATTAATGGCCTTCTGTAAGATGCCTTAATGTCCTTCTATAAAAAAAAAAACTTCTTATTGTTTTCTATTAGAAAATTAGTCATACACTTTTAAGAAAAAGATTTGTCTTCTATATCAAGGCAAAATGGAATTCTCGCAGAAAATCTAATTGTTTTGACAAGAAGTAAATTTATTTAATTCGTGATCCTACAAACTAAAGTACCTGCAATCTCTTACGTGTTCACTAATTGCAATTACGAATAGTCATCCTTATAAATCATAGACACAAACCTTCATCATTGACATCAACCATAATCACATTCTTTGATTTCGTGCTACCCTGTGCGCAATTCCATAACACCCGGCTATGAATTTATTTTTTTAGTTTAAAATCAATCTTTTCGCTCATTAATACCACAAACGCATCGAAATTCTCATTTAATACCATTTATTATTTCTTTATTTCTACTTATTTGCATAAATACATATAAAAATACGTTGCTATAATTATAATTTGTGCGTGTGTGTGTCTGTGATGTTTTGTTTTG